GTGAATTGTAGATCAGGGGGAAAAAACCAAACATTTCCAGGAAAACCTTCGGTTTACAGCTTAAAAAATATAAGGTAAACCAGATCACTCCGAGAGGAAAAAAAAGAGCTAACATTTTAATGATGTTTCTGAGTATTTTAAAAATAACTAGCCTTGATGATGTTACCTACTTTGGATAATGAAATGTCTGCAAGAAAATAACCAAGCTCAGAGAGCACCAATCATAACTTGTTTTGAAAAGTTTCGAGGTTCATTATAAGTAGCTTGCATTTTGTTCATATGTGCTATACAAAAATGGAGTCAGATGTTACAAATAATTCTAACATAAAAATAATTGTGTATGTCCATTCATTCGTGAGTTTTCTGCTCCATAACAGTTGATGAATTCATATATTTTTTTAAAAAAAATCTGAATGTATGGTAATGTCAGATACAAACCATTTAACTGCACAGATGCAAAGTTATGCATATATTCATATCGTTCAAACAACAAACTTTATAATCTTTCATAATGGTTTACTTTTTTTTTTTTAAGAGTTGGATTACTTCATATAAAATGCCTGGTTTAAATTCCCTATAGCTCACAGAAGAGTAAAATATTCTCTGAGTAGATCAGCTCTATTCTTATGGCAGTAGAAAATACATATTCTCTTTCATCCTAGGGGACAAATGCAGAATAATGGGTCTAATTATATGAAGACAAATTCCAGGTATTGTAAATGGTATGAACTTTTTTTTTTCTAACAGAAAAAGTATTTAGATAGTAGTGGAACCAATTTAGGAAATTGGTGGGTTTCCCCATCAATTTGTTCAGTAGAGGCCGGATGGGACAACTACAGCCACAGATATCTTTATATAGCTTTCCACATATAGAAAAGATTTGGACTTAATGGCGTAAATTGCCTCTTCCAACACTATAGATTCTGTAAAGTATCAATTCACTGTTGCCTGTGGTCTCTAAGTTTGGACCTGACCTTCCAGCACAGAAATAATTCATTCTCTTTTTTAAAAGAAATTCAAATGTTAGGAAGTGAACATCAGAATTATTCCCAAACTGAGTGATTGGTGACTTGCCTCCTGGAAATGAACTTGAGAATGCTATGTATAAAGTTGCTAGGTGACATTAAACCAAAGGGTTTGGAGAGATTGTGTTTGCTGGGGCATACCACTGATACTCCCATGCTACTATTATGGGAAATAATGAACAGTCTCTACCTGATAAAGGGAACTTTGGGAGGATATAGGTCAGATCTTCACCCTTGAATGAACAGAAAGAGTAGAGATATATTGTTTCACTCTCCAGCAGGAGAAGAGGTACAGAGGTCATATGGTTAAACATAATTAAGCTCCAGCAGTGTTTATGGGACTATGTACCATAAATCGAACTCTTTTCTCCAAATAGAGAGTTAGATATTTTCCACTTGCATTTTCTGAAAAGACTAACTTGTCTTACTTGATCGTTCTTTGAAGTTACCATTTGGTATTGCGCCTGCTGTCCTACTCCTGTCAGGATATGTGAGCTGGCAATTCTTGCTGCCTTGCTGATAATATTTTATGTCTTTGTGAGAGTTCTAGATAATTTGAAGATCTTTGTACGTCTCCTGCGGTGATTTAGCGCTTTTGTACATAATTGTTTTTAGAAGCAATAAAAGACCCGTAACTGTTACAGGTTGAGCTTTAAGGTTGCTTTCTTCCACAAAGGGGGGAAAAAAATCTTCAAAACAGAAAGCTGCTTTTCTCCATGTAGAATAACTTAACATAATATAGTCCAAAACAAATGTTACGGTCCCATGGATAGACAGTTGGATTTGGAAAATGAAAACCAGGATTCAATCTTCCTTTTGTATTGAAATGATGTCATAACAGTTTCTAAGAACTAATAAAGGAGGATATTTGTAGCTCAGGGTTGACATGAGGTTGACATGATCCTTGGTGCTCTCTGAGCTTGTTTGCACAAGCAACTTAATCAGGATTACACAACCTAATCCTTTCCTTTCTTAACAAACCTATTCCTTTAACCCTAAAAATTAGCTGCATATTTTTCAAGGAATTCTAATTTAGTTTTTATTTTTTATTTTACTGAACCATTGGGAAAGCTACCTTTTCCGGTACAAACCAACATTACTTTATTGGAGGAAGGCATTATTTTATTTCATATGAACATTGACTGTGGTGTAACATGGGATCCTTGTGGAAGTAACAGCAAAAAAAAAAAAGTACAATTTGTGAATTAAAAAAACAAGGGAAGAAATAGCCAGTAGATACTAACTCAGGTTAAGAAAAGAGAAGGAACCCTGGCTCTTCAAAGGCAACAGGCCATCAAAGGTCCAATGGACTCTAGTACCCTAATACTCACGGGAAGAACCAACTTTTTAGACTTCCAGAATGTGAGGAGTGTAGGAGCCTGCTGGATCTGAAGGGGAAGGGTATTCCACAGGACAGGGGCTGCTGTGGAGAAGGTACACAACTTAAGTCCCATGAAGTGACAGCATTTAAAAGAACAGACGTGAAATGGGCGCACCCTATCAGATCTGGTTGGACAGGCAGATTTTTCCATTCAGAAATTCAGAAAGGGTTGTACAAATATTGCAGAATAATTTTCAAATTAAGGACACAATTCTGTGGTTCCTGATGATGTACCAGCATCCAGAAGCTGGTATTTGGACATTTTCCCCTTTCAGGAACAGACATCTTTTTTGTTCCTTGTAGAACAAAAGTAAAAAAGTAGTAGAAGTAAAATAGAATAGAATATTGTGAATATAGTCTGCACACCAGAATGCAGACTTAAAGATTCACAGTCTACAACTGTGAAATAGCCCTTTGTCAAATACAATATTCAGTGCCAGATACCCAACTGCTTTCTCTGTTGGATAAAGACATGTTTAGGTTTTGTTTGTTTTTTAATAAAGTTGTTGGATAAGGAACAGAGTTTTTATGCTCCCAGGAACCTCTCCTAGAAGCTGCAGAAGTTGAAGCAGTAATTGAAGTGGCAGAATATTTACTTTAGGAAGCTTTTGTTGTTTGTTGTTTTTAGAAACAGGTAGATAAGTATAGCTAGGAATTTGTGCCGGCTAGTCTTTTTGTTTCTGTGTTCTGTGTTGTTGAGTCTCATTAATTTTTTTGCACAAGTTATAGAATTCAATCTTTAATTTCAGCCTTCATGTTTTCAGCTATTTACTGGGTTCTCTGATGTTTTGAAGTAACTTATGACCTGTAGTACATTGCATCTGAAGATTAAAAACAGATACAACACAGCAGCAGCCCTATTTATATTACACAGTTTGATTGTTTGTTTTTTTAAGAAAATGAGTCTTTGGGGTTAAAAGTGGCTGTAAATACTATTATCAGTTATTGGAAACATGTCATTATGAATCCCAAGAAAATTAGCTTTAAGTTTTGTTTACAGTTAACATTTTTATACAGGTGGATTTGTCCTAGGTTATGTGGGATGCCTTTGTGATCTTGAAACAGTGAGCCCCTTTGAAGTGTGGAGTAAATACCTTGCCTCCAAAGTATAGATGATTGAGAGCAAACTAAAAATACTGTGGTCTTATTTGATCTCCTTAGATTTGCTACATTAACTAAACCAGGTGACCAACAGAAGGTAGACCAGTTTGGGGAGGCAGTAATCAGAAATGGATTTTTGTGAAAGCTCACACATTATTGAAATCAAATCCAGAGCCTAACGTCTGTGTTCAGTAACTCACTGCTCCTTAATTCCATTTGGGGTATTTTGAGCTGAGCCACCTTGTCCCTACAATTGGTAGGTCTTGAAATTCTCATGAAGAAAAAGAATAAATTCTGTAAGACTTCTGTCTGCTCACATTGGGCATACATGATGAAAATCAGTACTGAAAGAATCCAGGTGGGAGCTGAGGGGAGCTAGTTCCTTAGAGCGAAATATTTTATTATGAAACGATAAACTACAATGGTACATCTTCTAAGGTGCATGTATTTTTATGCAAAAAAAGAAAGAGGAAAATAATAGAAAATAAAAAGCACAATAAATGATAACTTACCTAAGTTTGTTGTGATTGCAGTTAGCCACAGGCAGCAAATTTGACTGTTGATTCAGAACAATGTTGGTGATTTCTTTATACCATTTGCAAGAATTCCTGTCCTGTCAGTTTTTTAAAAATTTAACAAATGCTGCCCTGAACCACAGGGCATGTGCTCTTGCGCTGCCAGAGGCAATTTTTCAAATGACTTTTCATCTGAAGTGGTATATGTTTATGCTAAGAAGTTTTTTTTCATGCAACTTTATTAGCACAAACGAGACAAGAACCCTCAAATGAAGGGACCGTGTGTACATTCTTGTACAATTCAAATGTGAAATAGGTGCTCCGGAGGACAAACAGTGGTATTTAGAAGAGCCTAAACAGAGCCTTATATAACCCCTTTTCAATCTTCAGTACAATCAGGTGGGTTGTTTATGTACTGATAAATCTTCATGACTCGTAACTCATAAAAAAGAGACTCTAGAAAGAGTGCATAGAAGAACAACAAAGATGATTAGGGGACTGGAGGCTAAAACATATAAAGAACGGTTGCAGGAACTGGGTATGTCTAGTTTGATGAAAAGAAGGACTAGAGGTGGCATGTTAAGTGTTTCAGTGTCTCAGGGGCTGCCACAAAGAAGAGGGAGTCAAGCTATTCTCCAAAGCACCTGAGGGTAGGATGAGAAGCAATGGGTGGAAACTAGTCAAGGAGAGAAGCAACATAGAACTAAGGAGAAATTTCCTGACAGTTGGAACAATTCATCGGTGGAACGACTTACTTCCAGAAGTTGTGAATGCTCCAATATTGGAAGTTTTCAAGAAGAGATTGGACAACCATTTGTCAGAAATAGTATAGGGTTTCCTGCCTGAGTAGGGGGTTGGACTAGAAGACCTCCAAGATTAGAGGGGGGAAAGTTACAAAAGTTAGGATCCTGTCTACTTCTCTGACTTAACTCTGTTCCTTCTCTCTTCTTCCCTTCCCCCTCCCTCTTTTTGTTTCAGCATTCATCATCATGATCATTGTGGCCCTCCTCCGAATCACCAAGGGTCAAGGGGAAGGTCACCCCCCTCTGGCTCAGCTCTCAGGAGTACGGAATCTCTTTGGAGTCTGCGTTTATTCCTTCATGTGTCAGCACTCCCTGCCATCCCTCATCACTCCCATCTCTAAGAAGAAGCATGTTAACAAGCTAGTCCTCCTGGATTACATCTTGATCCTGGGTTTCTACAGCCTTCTGTCTTTCACTGCTATCTATTGTTTCCGCAATGGGACTCTAATGGACATGTACACACTCAACTTCACAAACTGTGACATCATCAGCATTGCTTTTATCCGCTACTTCCTGGGACTCTTCCCAGTCTTCACCATCAGTACAAACTTTCCTATAATTGCTGTGACTTTAAGAAATAATTGGAAAACTCTCTTCCACCGGGAAGGGGGAACCTACCCATGGGTAGTGGACAGGATTTTTTTCCCAGTCATCACACTAATTCCTCCAATTATTGTGGCTTTCTGTACTCATGATCTGGAATCCTTGGTGGGAATCACTGGTGCCTATGCTGGAAATGGGATCCAGTACATCATTCCTGCTTTTTTAGTGTACTATAGTCGGAAGGAAACACAAACGACCTTTAGAAATAGCACACTCAATAAACACTTGTCCCCTTTCCGGCACACCTTCTGGATTGGGTTTGTGCTGCTCTGGGGACTTTTTTGTTTTTTGTTCGTGACTGCAAATATCATTTTAAGTGAAACAAAAAACTGATGGAGCAATATTGCTGGTTAAGATGATCTCTAAGACTTCTGTTCCAGGTATTGCACCTAATAAGGATATTTTAAGCTAATTTAAGATTAAACTTTTAAACTACTAATACAATATTGAGCTTGATGCTCATTTGAGGCACCTTGCTACTTGTTCAGCTACCTTTCAGATTCTGATTTTCCGTTTCATGCACAAAACAATTGGACATCAGGCTGCTGCTACGACCACTTTTTAAGCAGGGTATTTTCCTCTCTTATTAGAAGATGTCAGAGACTGTTGGATATGCATCTAATCCCTCACGTGATGGAAAAGACCAGCTTTACTAAAAGTTTCGCTTTTAGTAGTCAAGCCAATAGCCAATGACTCAAGCAAATTACTTACTAAGAGCTGCTTCCCTAATCATTCATATTCTTTCTGAAGTGACTTTCTGTCCTACCAACTCATTGAATATTAGGAGCAAAATGAAAGCAACTGATGGAACTTGGTTTCATAATAGTTAATATTGCATGCTGTATGTGGCAACCTAAGCACTCTGGAATGGGTAGAGGAGCCCCACCGCTTCCCCTTCTCCCCTAGTCCCGCTTTGATTGTTTTCCCCATTTGTTTCTCAGCCTTTCCAACGCTTTTCCAGGTTGCCTTGTTTCCTATAATGCAGTCCTGTGACTGAAACTTGCCAAGCTTTAAGCTTTGTGGTTATTTTAGCTCAGAGATTTCCCTCCTCAATTTGTCTATGTACAACATGGGTCTGAGCAGGAGGTCCTATCATGAACTATACACTTGGTTGATACAAAGCCACCTCTTGATAAGTAATAAGGAATGTTTCCCAGTATAATGCTTTATTTTCTCTCTATACTGCTAACAGAATCATGCTAGTGTCACAGCAGCAGGGCAGGCCCTGTGCTTTCTGTATGGGTGTGAAAATGTTGATTACTTACTAAAGGACTACTTTGATAAACATGGAGAGCAGCTGATATTGTCTTGATGCAATATGTTATGATTAAATTTATCTACAGAATTTTCTAAATTGGGAGGTAGGGGAGCTATAGAAAGTGGAAAGAGACTTGTTCTGAAAGCCATTCCATCTAATGTCAGAATACTACAAACGATGCCTCCTAACTCTTGCTAAATCATGAACTCCAGGCAGTGAAATCTCATTTCTCTCTCTCTCCTTAAACCGATGATCACATCATAAAATGTAAACGTCGAAGAAGACTTTAGAGATTGGTGAGTCCAATGCCATCCCAGGGTATGGTTCAGCTATATAGCCTCACAGCTTATAGCTATCCACACTCTGTGCAAACACCTCTTGTGAAGTCAGTCGTCATCTGAAGGAATCTGTTTAGCAGTTCCTATTATAAGGAAATTCAGATGGTCCATTACTAATTCCTTCCATCGTTTGCCATTCTGTCTTCTGAAATAACTTTGAACAATGCTGTATACCACCCAGAGTCACTTCCTGTGAGATGGGTGGCCATATACATTTGATTAATAAATAAATACATAAATAAATAAAAACAATTCCCTCTCTACACGACAGTCATTCAGCTACTTAAAGACAATTCCCTGCAGTCTTCTCTTCTCCAGGTTATCTATCTATCTCATAACGTTTTCCTTCCAGGTTCCTTGTCATCCTAGCTGCTGTTTTGGGATGCAGAGCTATGTAAACCAAACTAAATGAGTAAATATCAGTTTGTCAAAGTCATCACTAAAATGCAATGCCCAGAACTGGATGCAGTATTCTAGGTGTAGTACTGTTCTCTTTTTCTCTTGAATCAGGCTGTTATATGATAACTATGCCTTCTGGGGGGGAAATGGGACAGGGGAGTTTGAAAGAGAATTCCCAACATCCATCACCTATTACAATATTTGGATCTTAAATCTGATATCTACATCCAACTGAATACATGATGGACAAAATACTGGATTTCAGTTGCTTCTAGTTGGGCCCATAAAGCTTTGCTGAGAAGCAATATTTCTCCAACTGCTGTTGATACAAAGTCACAAGAGACGTTTGGGTCACAAATCGCAAAGTTATCCGCATAAAGAAAGTATTATTTTTTCTTTCCTTTGGCTATAGAGGTGTTGAAAGTGCTTTTTTCTGTTATTAAATTCCATCTTCCAAGCAGGTGGGTGATGATGCTCTTCTCCAGGCTGGTTGTACCCATGATATAAAATTTGATGTTCGTCAAGGTTAGTTGATAAATTTGGTGGTGCTTGGGTTTTAAAGAATTATTAAGTAGAATTATTTTTTAAAAAGCCCAAATTGCTTTTGTTGCAGAGATTGGCAGCGGCTGTGCTTTAAAATACACACACACACACAAACATATGTGTGTGTGTGTGTTTTCTTAAGTTTTCGCGGGTATTTATGTTTATGGTTCAGCTTTTCCCACGTCATTATAGTTGTGCTTTTAAAGTTGTAGCAACGTTTTGGCAGAATCTCATCTGCCATCATCAGGCTTCTGTATTGTGTTCGTCTGTGAGTCAGACTTTCACAGCCGTTTCTGTTTTAAATTTGGGGCTAGCCTACTGCTGTGCCAGAATGGTTTTTTCTTCATCCTGATTGGTTGGGAGTCTTGGTCTGTGTTTATTTAATGCCTGGCAGACAAGACACACATAAAGACTGAACTATGCACCCTGACTAAAGTACTGACAGCTAACGGCTTCCACAAAAGCAAAATCACTGGCTTGATCCACAAAAACACACTGAGACATAATGGAGACCTAGAAGATGAACAGACCTATGGAACAGCTGTCCTGCCCTACACAAGAGGTACCAGAGACAAAATCAGTAAGATACTACACAGGCATCACATCAAGACTGCCTTCAAAACAGACAGAAAAATAGCAGCCATCCTAAGAAACCCCAAAGATAAAATTGACCTGGAAAACCAAGGCATATATGAAGTCCCCTGTGCATCATGCCCTGCCACATATATTGGACAGACCAATAGAAGAATAAGTACCCACCTAGATGAACACAAAAATGCAGTAAAAAAGCTGGAACACACTTCCTCACTAGTCCAACACATGAAAGCCACAGGTCATAGCATCAACTTCAATGGCACCAAAACCCTAGTCACTATAGAAAACCCCAGCCACAGAATTATCAGAGAAGCCATAGAGATTGAAAAAAGACCTGGAAGCATGAATAGAAGAGATGATTCCACCAGACTGTCAATTATTTGGAAGCCTGCACTCACAAACAAACAAATCTCCACACCACAAGCCAGCCAAACACCTGGGCACAAACAGATCCCCCCATGATACCTCCAGCTCAAACACACCCCAACCAGGCACCCAGATGAAATGAAACCTAGCTTCCTAATAAATGATAGCCGTCCATTTACTCTGAGCCAAGCCGCACTAAAAGCCTCCAATACAGGAAACACAATGTTGCCAGCCAATCAAGACAAAAAAAGCCACAAAACAGACAGAACATATTAGAAACACCAATCAAGCAGAACACAGCAAACTCCAAGACCAATAAACACAGACCAAGACTCCCAACCAATCAGGATTAAGGAAAAACCATTCTGGCACAGCGTAGGCTAGCCCCAAATTTAAAACAGAAACGGCTGTGAAAGTCTGACTCACAGATGAACACAATACAGAAGCCTGATGATGGCAGATGAGATTCTGCCAAAACATCTCTACAGCTTTAAAAGCACAACTATAATGACGTGGGAAAATACCCGAACAAAGCTGAATACCATACATGTAAGTACCCGCGAAAACTTAAGAAAACAAACAAATACACACACACACACAGAGAGAGAGAGAGAGAGAAAGAATGTTTTCTTCAGTGAAATTCCACTTTCTCCAGAAGAAGACCGTGTCTTTGCTAGATTGCATAAGGTTAGGTTTGGCAGCCAGGGACATTTGCTGCAGGCACATCAAGACCTGATGACAGCACCCTCTCGATGTCAGGCTGTTCTTGGCAGCCCTTTTGGTGCATCAGAGAGTCACGTACACAACCTGCAAAGCTTGCAAATAGATAAGGCTGGATTTCAGATACCAGATTGCGGGGGGCTCTTAATGACTGAACCCAAAAGAGTCAGATTTCTGTCCTTATTCAGGGACAACAAAAATAGTTTGGTTTAAAAAAAAAAACATATCCACCCTCCGTTGAAATAGGAAATCTACTATCCCAACAAGCACATAGATTTAGCATTGTTCATTTCTGTCATTCTTGCCTGCAATTGCCATAAACCTTCCTAAGCGGCAGAAGAGATCACGGAGAGTCATGTTAAGAGCTGTCAGATGCTGCTCCAATCTATCCTTGGCATAACAAAATACCAGCAAAGATGGGATGACTGCTAGTATTTTAATAACAAAATCTCTTGTGCCTTAGGAATCACCCATACACAATGCACATTGTGGCTATTACTACTTAATCTTAAGGCCTTGCATGATTTGAAAGATAAAATGTGCCCTATTTCACCTTAAAAAAAAATTACCATATATTTTATTTCTTTTTTCTTCTGGATAGAAGGGTTACTCATTTCATACATGTATCCCTCTCAGATCTTCACAGGGTTTTCTTCTCTTCCCCATTTGTTTTGACCTTCATCCTTGACACTCAGCTCAGAAGAACCTTCTGAAAATAGGGTTTGCCATCGCAGGCAAGAAGGGATGGATTTCAGCAAAAGCAGAATTCCTGCAACTGTCTTCTGTTAAACAGAAGCTCATTTTTCCTTCTTGAAAAGAGGAAACCGCAGGCTTCAAGTGCACTCATTTCCTATCATTGTCAGTGGTAACTTCACAGCTACTGGTAGGCTTTGCAGAATTTCCCCAGGCAGCTCCTTCCCAATTCCATGTTGTATTAACTGTTATTTTCAACCAACATTAGCTATCCCAAAAGCTGCTCAGAAAGTTGTAAAACACAACATTGTAGTAGTTGTTTCCTGATTTCAGAACAACTCTCCAGATAAGGGATATACAACCTTGGCAACTTTAAGATCTTTGGGTGTCAATTCCCAGAATTTCCTAGCCATCCCTGCTCTAGATAAATGTAGCTTGCTTTCTGCATGAATAGGAAAAAGATTTTTCCATGGATCTAATAACAGTGCCTTCCGTTAGTCCCTAAGTTTGGAGAGTTCCTTCTTAGGGCTGGAGTGACTGTCCCAATGCCATCAATAAGCAAGTGGCAGTGCGATCCAGTTCCAGTAATAGTTGTAAGTTGCATTTTAAAAATTTCAAAAGAAGAGGTAGAAATGTGAAATAGGATTATTTCTGTTCTTGCGTATTCTTCATTGACCCCATAATCAAGAACTGCAGGGAACAGGTTAGGGAAATCCAGAGCATACCTTGGATGAGTATGAACAGCTGAGATCTTCTCCACTTGTTTCTAACATGGGATATATTTTTAATTGATTGCTCTAATGCAAAAGTTCTCTCCTGTGGCTCTTTGCTCTTCTGTGTCCTTGATTTGTCCCTAGGGGTGTTTATTTTCCCAAAACGTTATGCATCTGTGATGTCTGGCCTTTTCCTCCAGGGGTTAGGGGAAATCTAGAATTGGTTTCTATTGCCAGAAGCAAAGAAGGGCAGCCTCAAGGCAGCAGCTCATAGAGAGGTGTGTGTGTGTGTGTGTGTGTGTGAACGCACGCGTGTGTGCCTTCTTATTCTGTATTAGCCTCCTGCTTCTAGCAGCAGTAGGTACTCTGGAAACTCAGTTAAAACAGCTGTACCTCACCCATCTCAATTACATTTTCTCGAACTGAAAAACGGAGCAAATCAAATCATTCCGCAGTCTTGGGCAACAAATGAAGTGTTGTTGGTTTTCTTCCTGGTAAATTTATTATAATCATAAAGCACAGCTTAATTTATGTTGAAATATTAAAAGGCATCTTCATGATGGAAATAAACAGTTTCGACTTTCCCCTTTTGTGGCTCACACATTTCCGTCTGAGGGATTAAAGCACTGTGGCAGATTTGTTGAGGAACTGGAGTGTAAATCTGAAATCAAAGTGGTGCTAAAGCTGATGGCCATTTCCCCCCCACACACTTCAAAGATCACCTGGGCAAAGAGCCACTTCCAAAAGTAGGGTAATTGGAGATCCAGATTTGAGGAAGAAGACCTTAGGGAGAATTGTCAACGTTTCACCCTTATTCTTCCACATAAGCTTATGAAATCAGAATATTTTCCAATTGCCATGGTCCAGTCAATCATCTCCTTTTAATGATCTTAATAATTTTAATAATCCTTTGCGGGGTGGAATCTGAGCAACTGAATGAAGCTGAGTGTTTATTGGCCGGATGCCTTTCCTGTCACCAATGCAGTTATATTCTGCAGATATATCCTCATTTTGCCCAGAGAGAGAAATTTCTGCTTCTACCTAGGATCAAACTCACCACCTCCTGATTCTGAGGCGAGAACTCCATCTCTAGGCCTCCGCACCACTCTGCCGTGGTCCAGTCAATCTGTTCTTGAAATCCGTAACATCTCTGGAAAGCTCTGGAGAAGCCATTCCCTCTTTCTCTTCAGAATCCTGTCTGTAAAATTGGGTTGAAGCTCCCTCTTAGAAGAATTCTTTTATTTTAAACACTTGTAAAACACTTGCTATATTTTTAAAACTACTTTCTGAGTGTTAAATAAAACTTCTTCAATAAAGTGTTAAATAACCCTTGGGTATGTCTATTTCAGGAGAATCTTTTTTGCAGCAGCAGTCATTCAGTGTATGTCATGGTCATTAAATGAACCAATGGTTTGCCATAGGTTTGGTTTTGCCAAAATTCAGAAATAAATGCTGTTTTTTTGGGAAAGACTTTGTAAAAATGCAGTCATGTGACTATGAGATGCTGCTTGGCCATAAATCTAGCCTGGTTGCCAAGTTCTCAAAATGTAGTCATAACCATGGGAACATCTTCAGAACTTTGAATCTGGATAAGTTCCCCCCACCCCAGATAGGTCCATTAAATCTTTCAATGGTCACTAAGCAAGTGATGATAAGTCGAGAACTACCTCTATTGAGAGCTTGAAGACTATATCACTCACCATAGGTGCTAGAACAAGGTTTTACCTACTTCTTTAAAAAAAAACCCTTTCTATAATTAAAATACACAGAGTACATAGTGAGATAATATTTTTCTTCCTGAAGTACTTATATTTTATATGTCCCTGATTCTATGCAGAGAATCTAGTAATAGCAGTAATAGTAATTTATATATATATGTATATTTCAAAATATATCCAGGCCTTTTTTTCTAAAGCATTCAAGATGGCTAACAATTATTATTTAAATTGTCATAAAAACAAAATTACAATCAAATAAAAACCAAA